ATTATTATAAAACATGTTTTAGTTAAGGAGTTATTGATACTTCAAGTGCAAAATGATGATATAAAACCTTGATTAAAATACACTTTTAAGTATCAATCACGTATGCAAATGTAGTTGGTGCATTAATGCATGAGATGGTTCGTACAAGACCAGATATTTCACATGCAATCAGTATGGTAAGCAGGTATATGCATGATCCAAGAAAGGATCACTGGCAGACAGTTAAGTGGATTCTATGGTATATTCATGGCACAACTGATATTGGTTTGACGTTTGAAAGAGATGATAGACTCAAACAAAATTTAGTTGGTTATGTGGATTCGGACTATGCTGGTGACTTAGACAAACGTCGTTTCACAACAGGCTATGTGTTTACACTTGCTAAAGGGCTTGTAAGTTGGAGGTCAATATTACAATTAACAGTAGCTTTGTCAACAACTGAGGCAGAGTACATGGCAGTAACAGAAGCTTTCAAAAAAGCTATTTGGTTACATGGGTTGATTGAAGATTTGGGAATTGTTCAAGATAATGTGGATATCCATTGTGATAGTCAAAGTGCTATTTGTCTTGCAAAGAATCAGGTTCATCATTCCTGCACCTAGCACATTGATGTTCGATTTCATTTTGTTCGAGAAATTGTGAATAAAGGGGATTTTCTGCTACAAAAGATTGGTACCGCAGATAATCCAGTTGACATGCTCACAAAATGTATCTCAGGAATCAAGTTCCAACATTGTTTGGACTTGGTCAACATCTCTCGGTCTTGAGCACCTTTAGGGTGCAGTGCCATATGGCGCAATAGAGGCAGCATTGATTGATCACGAGGATTGGATAAAAAAATCTTACCAAGGTGGAGATTTGTAGCAAATTGTCAACCTTTTTCCAACCACCATGACTTTTTAAAGCTCATAGCAAATTTGTAGCAAAAGCTCATAGCTCGATGGCCTCCGCTGTCAAAGTCATTCTCCGCAATAACATTGGAAGATCTGATGCCTCAAACAACTGTGACAGGCTGAGAATTTTCTAAAAGATTTTGTATAATTAGTATGTGATTGTTCCTACTTATGTTATTTTCAATTTTCGTAGCTTTGTTTGTAATAAATTATTTCTCTGCTTTGTATTTTGTTTCTTCAACGATTAATATGTTTTAGTACAGTATTATTATCAATCAATGTGAATAAAGGCTCTTTGCTATGAGGAGGACACCCGGATTTCAAGATTCTGTTTCATCCCTTGTAATAAAGGAAATCTTCAGTTCAATATTGAGCTGAAATGAATAAACTAGCATGAAAGGCTTCTAGAAGGAGATATATATACCAGGAATTCCTCCAGGAATTCCTGCACATCCTATGCATCTGCACTTAAACTATGAATCCACACTGATTATGCTACAAAAACTTAACTATCAACTGCACAGAGTTCTTCACAGTGAACTCTTGAAGAATCCTCCATGCAGCCTGGATTACAATAGCAAACTGTCAAAATGCATTTGCCTAAAAAAAAGAGAGTGAACAAGCTATTCGGCTTAAGGGAGTGAAAGCTCAAAAGATAGCAGAATTACACAGAAGTAAAGAGAAGCAGAGAGAATTTCTGATGAATGGAGAGAGAAGGATCAAGCTATTGTTAGAAGCTTGTTTACGGTTTCTAACCTCTCTTTAATTTTCATTGATCAATGTTAACAAACTTTCTTAACTGTCTAGCAAGATTAACAATATTTTAATCACTTGATTCTTTAATCTCTTCACATGTGACAAGACTTGAGGCAAGCACTGAAGCACTGAAACACTTAACAGTATTATTATCAATCAAAGTGAATAAAGGTCTTCCGATATCTTTACAAAACCAAGGAGGTATATTCTTGTGTTGCTACAAAACCCTCAGCTAACAAAATTTCCTTAGAAGTAAGCACTGAAACACTTGAGGCAAACCATGAACTTTATGACAGATTTCAAAGTAGTATGTTGAGTTTGGGCAAGTGATCAAAGAACTTGACATTCTATACAGGCAAGTAACGCACGCAATTTCAAAAATTATTTTTAACATCAATATATTAAAATTATTTAACAATATAATAATATTATGTTTAAGTAATTTTTTTAAAAAATATAAAATAAGTTTCAACTGCAAAATATTGCTTTGAAATATGTTTTTCCAAGAATAAGAAATCTCCTCCGACATCCAATCTATCTATTTATTTCTTCAATATAATTGATGAATTTATATAAGATTCTTTAAAGAAATGAAAAATTACTAAAATAAAAAAGATACAGAAATAATTGAATCAAGATATTTTAAAAGGAAGAATATAATGTTTTTAAGTTTTTGGTAAATAAATGAATCAATTAGTCGACAAAAAAAAAAAGTGACAGGTTTTTCTGTCATAATGAGCCATTTTCACAGGCCGCGCTCTGCCATAAAGCATTAGGTTGTGTGCGGCATGAACTGGCCTGGCTCCATGTGACAGATTTTTCTACACAGATCGTTTGCTTGCACGTAGAAAGACTTTGTCGAGACAAAGATTTCAGAAAGAGATTGTCGTGAATTGATGCATATTATCAGAGAAGAGGATGGTGATAGGGAAATAATTCCAGAGTCTCCTCGCTTCCCAAAATTAAAAACTCTCGTTGTATTTAGATGTGGTAAACTGGAATATGTCTTCCCTGTATCCGTGTCTCCAAGCCTTCCGAACCTGGAAAAGATGACGATTTCTGATGCTGACAATTTAAAGCAAATATTTTACAGTGGAGAAGGAGATGCACTCACCACAGATGGCATCATCAAGTTCCCTCGACTAAGTGAATTGGATCTTTCTTCCAGATCAAATTACAGCTTTTTTGGTCCATAAAATGTTGCTGCACAATTGCCTTCTTTGAAAAGTCTAACCATCTATGGCCACAAAATGGATACATAGAATTTGATGGTAGTTATTGTTTTCAAAAATAACTTTAAAAAAAAATATATTAAAATAGATCAACTATGTACAGGCAAGAGAAATTATTAAATGAAAACAGCTTTATCCAGCCGGTTCTCAATCACTACACCGAATTTCCCAAACTATGCTGTTTGGACTATAAGCTGGGGTGATGATTTAACTATGTATTTTCTAAAATAGTTCTCACCGTCAAATATATCAGGATTAGCTCGAATGACATGATAAATGTTATTTTGTATAAAAATAATTAAAAACAAGTTTTAAAATATATTTTGAAAAACATTAAAAATGCATTAATTTAATATTTTTTGAAGTACACTTTTTAAATGTTTTGAAAAGAAAAATGATCACATTTTCAAACACTCATTGTTTTCCAGAAAATGGTTTTTGAAAAACTATTTTTCAAACTTTTCTTTATTTATTTCTTATTAGAAAAGTTTGGTCAACAAAAAATATTTTTTGATCAACAAAAAATACTTTTTAGTCAAAATAAAATTTGATTTGATTTTTAGAAAAGTGTTTTTCTTTTATTTTGAGCGGAAAACACTTTTCAGAATTGTGAAAAATTTAGAAATATTATATTATTTTTAATTATATCAAATTTAGTCCTCAAACTTTTGATTGTTATATATGTTTTGTTTTGAATATTTGCTTTTCAATTTCATCCCTTATAATTTAATTTTTATATAACTTTAGTCCTCATTTTTATAATTATTATTTGCTTTTTTCTTATCATTTTTTAATTGAAATTTTTTATCTATTAAATTTGGTCCTCATTCTTTTGATTGTTGCTTATTTTATTTGAAATAATTTATGAAATGTTAATTATTATTATTTTAATTTCTTTGTCTTTTAACTTTTTTATTTTTTAAATTTGATCTCTATTATTTTGATTATTATTTATTTTATTTGAGATAATTTATTAAATTATTATTTTTAATTTCATTCTCATTTAACTTTTTAATTTGTAAGATTTGTTTCTCATTATTTTAATAAACTTGAAACAAATAAAACATTAATAAGTTATTTTCCAGCTCGTTTTTCATAACATAACCAAACACTGAAAAATATTTTTCAATTTATTTTCTATTATACTACCAAACATTGAAAAATAATTCACTTTCTTAGAATTCACTTTCACGGAATTCACTTAAAAAAAAAATACTTTCGAGCAAACAAACAGGACCTAAAACATGATAATTTAATACAAATTTGGTGAACATTAATATAAGTGAATTTTTTAAAATAATTACTTTATTTAATGGATAATAAATGTTTTATAGATATTAAATTAGACCCCAAATCCTATATATATTATTTGGGATCAGATCGTTACAAAATGAAAATGAATAGAAGAAACAAATTTGATACCTCTCTGCTTCTCCTCGGCATGGCTTCTTCTTGCGCAAAACTGTCATTTTGCTAGTAACTATTTGCCACTATGTATTTATTACATGGCTTGCACCAAGTAACCCTTTGAATCATTTGTAAATTCCTCACATCAGCTACTTTATCATTTTCATGGGTTCTGTTCATTTCCTTGTGGGTAGGGTTCTTCGGCTTAGTTATTTTGTTTCCTGTAATTGAAGTGATATAATTTTGCAGGGGCGAGCAGGCCCATGAGCCCGCTTTTTATACACTAAACTGCAGTTTAAGCCCAAACAAATATATATATAAAAAAGCAGAATCCAAGTTTTCAAGGTTCATCATTTGAACCCACTAATCAAAACGGTTAGAATCCAATTTTCTTAAAGCCACTTTGTCTGCTTTTGAAATCTTTGACGACAACCAATGTTGGTATTTTAATATTTTTAAAACAAAAACAGAAATGATATCGAAATTCAGGTTTTTAATTTGCCAGTACCATTATTCCTCTTTCCTTTGAAGCATATCATTCAGAGAGAGAAAATTATCACATCTACTGGAACACCTAGGATATGCCTTGTAGCAAATTTTTTTCATCCTTATTTTTTTTTAATTGCGCTCTTATATGCTTTAATTAAAGACCAATTAGTTAAATGAATTGAAAGAATTCAATGAATGGTTACTACATTCAAAAATGCAAAAACACGAAGAAAATGAATGTCGAATCTCGTATTTATAAAATAAGTTTATTTTGATTCAAAAATTTAGTTTTTATATTTTTAAGTACTTGAATGAAAAAGAATCAGAGAAAAATAATGTTAAAGAGATAAAATACTTAATTAGAATCGATTCGAGCAAAAAAAAAAATAGTATTGATGTCAAAAAGTTTTTTTAGACAGAGAGTCCTATTAAAATATTATTTAGGTTTATCATGCCTAAAAAACAAGTTTTAAGATTTTGAGAATCGGGTTGAGTTTCATATTGAAGAATTGTTTTTTTGGTGTTTTTAAGCTAAAAATAATTTTATTTTGGTCTCTATAATTTTTTATATGTTATTTTATATAAAAACAATTGAAAACAAGTTTTAAAAGCCAAAAATCTTCTTTCTTAATTTTTCTGCCACCACATTGGTGTCCAGATTCTAGGTAATATATAGTAGGCAATGTGCTGGGTTGTTTTTTTTTTTTTTAATCCTTTTGGTTAAATATAAATTTTTGGCAATCAGAAATCATTTGGCTTTTTTCTCCTTTGATAATTCAAAGAACATTTTCATCAAAATAAAAATGGCATATGAATTTTATTTCATATTCGCATTGTTAATCAAAATTTATTATTTTTTTAAAAAACAATTGTAACAAAATACATAATCTAATATATATGTGGGAAAAACCAAATTAACAATTAAAGATATATTTAATTCTTTGTTTTTTTTCTTCATCCTTCTTGGATGTTGGGAATTCTATTTTTTTTTTGGATTTTTTTTAATTTAATCTTTAAGTATTTGATTTATTATAAATTAATACTCATGATGTACTTTAATTTAATTCATATAAGATTACCATTTTCCCGGGTAGCATCTCAACATTTTCTATTCATTATGTTTTTTTATATAAAAGTTTCACCTGTTCAACATATGTAATGATATTTTGCTGGAAGAAGTACTGTTACCTTTAGGAAAAAGGCAACAAATTTCCGACATTTTTTAACTCTTGATCAGTGGCTGTGGTCCGTTCCGTCCACTGGAATAAAGAAAAACCAAAGAGAACAAGACTTCCAAGGCACACTATGGAGCCAAGGGAGTTCACCAGCTGTTGAATTTCCATGGTCATGAAGTCCAAACCCAGTGAGCACGATTAACAGGTTATTGGCTGGGGGAGCTTTAATGGCATGATCGATGCTGTGGATGTAGCAAGAAACAATTAACACGACAAGGTTTTAAATATGGCGTATCAACTCCTTTAGTTTTGATATTCTTTTTTTGTTCTGTATCTGTTAGCTTTGTATATTTTTTTATAATTGTTTTTTCTTCTTCAAAATTACAAAAAGTTCGCAGATATGGGCGGGAAAATGAGCGAGTATAATGTTCTAATATCCTAATAATTGCTTTTGGTTTCTCTGTTCGCAGATATGGGCGGGAAACTGAGCGAGTATAATATTCTAATAATTGTAAGCAACTTTGTAAAGCAAGCAACTTTGGAAAGCAAGCAACTTCGTGGCAGCTGGATTCAATTAATCAAACTACTCCTAATTGATTTTTACCAAAATTCTTCACCAACATGATAACGTTCACACTATTTTTACACTGTGGAAGCTACCATATGAGCTTTAGATCTCCCCCTTTCACGTCATTTTTTAGTATTATTATTAACTAATAAGCTACGATTTGCTAACCCCTCATAGTCAAGTTTTTTATTAAATCAACTTTTGAAAACGATTTTGATAATAAAATGATAAAACGAATCATCACCATCGTCCGTGTCTCTCTCTTCCACACCAGTAACAAGCAACCACACTGCCCCATCTCTATCTCTGACCTGCAGAAACCACTGCTAGATGTTCATGTCTTCCTCTTCCTCTAGACTTGGATGGCATTATGATGTGTTTCTAAGTTTTAGAGGTGAAGATACTCGCAAGAATTTTACGGATCATCTTTACACTGCTTTACTCCAAGCAGGAATCCATACATTTCGAGATGATAACGAACTTCGTAAAGGAGAAGAAATCTCCTCACACCTCCTCAAAGCAATTCAAGAATCCAAGATTTCGATAGTGGTTTTCTCTAAGGGCTATGCTTCCTCCACTTGGTGTCTTGATGAACTTTCAGAGATTCTTGATTGCAGACAAACAGCTGGTCAGATTGTTCTACCAGTTTTCTATGATATTGATCCTTCTGATATTAGAAAACAGAAAAGGAGTTTTGCTGAAGCCTTTGATAGACATGAAGAACTTTTTAAGGAAGAAATGGAGAAGGTCCAAAAGTGGAGAAAAGCTCTTGTGGAGGCTGGAAGATTAACTGGGTTTGATCTTCACAGTATCGCAAATGGGTACTTCTTTCCTTTCCCTATATCGATCGCAAATGCTTATAACTTTTACTCCATTTACATTTTGTAATTTAAACTAGCATCATTTTCACCATCTTATTTCCAAATCAGCTTATGTTTCATTGATGAGTGATGACTTTCTTTTACTATGCACAGGCATGAATCAAAATTAATTCAAATGATTGTTGAAGAAGTTTTAAGTAAATTGAATCCCAGATACGTGAAAGTTGCCACATATCCAGTAGGTATTGATTCTCAAGTCAAAGATATCATTTCCATGGTATGTGTTGGTACAAATGAAGTTCGAATTGTGGGAATCTATGGGATGCCAGGAATAGGCAAGACAACCATAGCAAAAGCTGTTTTTAACCAAATTTGTCATAAATTTGAAGGAAGTAGTTGCCTTTTGAATATCAGAGAAAGATTAGATCAACACCGAGGTCTACTTCAATTACAAAAACAGCTTCTTCGTGATATTTTGAAGGCATATATTGGGCTTAACGATGATGATGAAGGAATCAATCGCATCAAAAGCCGATTTTGTCGTAAAAGGGTACTTGTTATTCTTGACGATGTTGATCAATTGAAACATTTACGTGGATTGGCAGGAGAGCGAGACTGGTTTGGTCCTGGAAGTAGAATCGTAATTACAACTTCAGATGAACGTTTACTCACACGACTTGAAGTGGAAAAACAATATCACTCCAAAGGACTGAACAATGATGAGTCTCTTCAACTTTTCAGTTGGCATGCCTTTAAGAAGCCCCATCCAATGAAAGAATATGTTGAGCTGTCTAAAGTTGTAGTTGATTATGTTGGTGGAGTTCCATTGGCTCTTGAAGTCCTAGGCTCTAATTTGTTTCAAAGAAGCATCACTCACTGGAGAAGTTTTATAGAGAAATTGCAAAAACATCTTCCACATCAAATTCAGAGGCAACTTATAACTAGTTTGGATGATTTGGATGGTGAAGTGAAGGGTATGTTCCTTGATATTGCGTGTTTCTTTAATGGTATGGATAAAGATTACGTGGGAAAAATTCTCGATGGTCGAGGTTTTTATCCAGAAATGGGTTTTGATATTCTCAGGGAAAGATCCCTTTTAACAGTCAACAGTGAGAATGAGTTACAGATGGATAATCTCTTACGAGACATGGGAAGGGAGATCATTCATCAAATGGCTCCAAACCATCCCGGAAAGCGTAGCAGACTTTGGCATCCCGAAGATATAATGGACGTACTCGATAAATATTGTTCGGTAATAACTAATTGTTCTTCATTTAGGCAACATTTGATGAAAACTTTTTCCACAGAAGCTTTCCCATGATAATAAACTATTGTTTCCTGTTTAATTCTTGTTGTTTTTTAGGGCACAGAGGTAGTGGAGGGTATCGTGCTAGACGCTCAA